TTATATTTTTATTCATCTAACTCAGTTTTAGATCTAAAAGTATTCTAAAAATACAGAATCAGAGTATACGAAGAAAAAAATGACTATGCGCTCTCATTTCATGTCATTACAACTCCCCTAATAAGGAACATACGAAGTGAGAGCTTTATTCTCAAGAACGAAATAAGATAGATAAAATTTTTAATAAAAAATATTATGATTGTTTCTATTTGACATAGAGAGAGGATAAAATATTAGGTGAAAGGAAAGTACAATTATTTCATGATTAAATATCTCGTTTTATAATGAACTATTTAGAGGAAAAGCCGTGAAATACTCACAAAAAAATAATAATTCATTTAGCTACTTTTAATTTATTTAAATTAACATATATTTATTGTTCAAAACTATCAGACAGTTTCGAATTATGTCACATATACAGTGCTTTTAAAGGAAATAAAAATGACTCACCAAAATCTATTGGCATGCCAGTTGCACCCTAAATACCTTGGAAAGAGACACAAGGAATGACCATTGTGAGATGGCCCAACTGTATTTAAGAAGGCTGTAAAATATGTGTATCAACATATTGCGTTAAAGATATCAACAAATTTGATTGGTTTTGAAAATTAAGCACTTCGCACAACTTTATTCAGAAATGCCGCAAAATACACTTGAAGTTGATAGACTGTGATTTACATAGCGGTTTTGTTTGCTGAATTGTTTAATAACTAAAAATAGTACCAAACTTTGAAACTTCTGGTGTAGAAGGTAGAGAAAAAAGGTGATTCATTAATTTCACATCAACGTCTGGATATATTATGCTGGCGGGCCACTATTGCTAACGTTGCACTTCCTATGTCTATCATCTCTTTCGATTTCCATATTCCTGTACTGTGTCAATATGAAAGGCTTGAAATGTGATGCATGCTTGATTGATAACATGATTCATTTTCTACTATACATCCTTTGTAGAGATTTAAATCATGTAGATCAGAGATAAAGTTATCTGCAAATTTAAAAATTAAATGCTAAACATCATTTTTGCTTTTCGTCAATTTTCGTTGAAAAACATAAAATGATTTATATAAAATTAGACTCGAAATAATATTATAAACATAGAATGATGTATGCTTTCAATACATATTTATTGATTTTGATGGTGCTGTTATGGGTTCTTCTTCAAAAGATAAGCAGTTTTACAATGCGAAAGAAGCAAGCAGCCAAATATATAGGGAAATGAATAAGCAGAGCAAAGACGAAAAAAGAGCATCTATTGAGCAAAAGCGGAATCAGAAAGATAAATGTCAAGATATTCGAAATCTGAAAGCTTTCTGAAAATATAGAATGAAATTAATGTCATTAGTTAAAGAAAATAAATTTTTCTTCCAAAAATACTAAAGGAAAAACTTCAAAGAAGTGCAATTCACCAGCTAAAGATTCGTGGATGATCTTAGCTGCACTAAACTCTTATCTATATTTAAGGGATAAACTATGTTTGGAATTTAAAGATTGACTTAGTTCTTCTTGAATTACGATTTAGTACTTCTTACAGTTCTTACAGTTTACGTTTTTAATGAGAAATTTAAATTCTCTTTTACTTTGGCCGCTATGTGTCAAACCATAGTGAAAACCAGATGTTAAATAAATTTTCCAAGAACTGAAGTGAGGGAAAGGTCTTTGAACAAAGAGTTCTATTTATTGATGCGAAAATAACTTTTAATTTAAATTTCTTGAAAATCCGAGGAACTTTGCGAATGACAAAAAGAGAATGACAGCATAGGTGTTGTGGTTATTTATAGTAGACTATCATTTCTGACAAGAAAAGGGTAAAGTTTTAAGAATTTTATTAGTATCCATGGCAACGGATTTCAAATTATTGAGTTCCCGAATAAGATAAAATTGTGAAGAATAAGCCTTTACATAGTTACGCTAATTATTTAAACTAACAAATCACTTTTAAGAACTGTTAGACAATTTTTGTCCTATCTGCTTTCTAACTAAAAATATCAGAACTTCAGTAAAGGTTAAAATAAAACATATATTAGCGCTTTCGACTTGATGGCCACACAAACTAAGAGTATAACAGACCAGAATTCCTCCACCTGTCGGTCAGCCAAAACACGCGTTTAAATTAAAAATAATGCAAAGCACAAAATTGCCATTTTTAATTAAGTACTATCAAAGCAATTCTGGCTAGAAGAAGTTCACGTTCGCAATTCAGATTGTAGCAGCAGCGAAGCAAGAACAGAGTGACGATCAGCCTATGCTGCTGAGCGCTCTCGGAAAATATTAGAAAATAGAAGCTTTTTTATACATTAACTAAATTAGACTGGGGAAATTGACAAAAGTAGAAGTTATAGTAAAACCAACATGATAAGCTTTAAACGGGAAATGCACGTATGAATGAGTCGAAATCGTAGAATATTAAACATTTTCTACAACTACTTTATCACCTTCGAAAACTCTAAAGATATCACCAGTATAAAAACAAGTTTGGAAAAAAAATTCTTTAACTGGTCAGCATCAAAATAGTGAATGAGTTTTTCGGAAAGTTTTTTATCATAAGATTTACCCATCCTTTAATTTGACAATAGTTAATATTGGTTACAGCCGAAAACATCGCGGCAAAAACACCGCGGACCAAAACGTCGCGGAGAAAACAACGCAAGGCGAAAACGTCGTGGGAGAAAACATCGCAAAGAGAAAACATCGCAGTCTTAAAACATTGTAATACAAAACATCGTCGTCGAAAATAAAGCGGTTCAAAAACTTCGCAGTTTAAAAACATCGTCGTCGAAAATATGGTGGTAAAAAATAAAGTATCTACAAATCATAGCATGACGATAACATCGCAGACATGCTTTTTTCAGGCTTTAATAACTGTAAATGGATATTCCTATAATGATTTGTGAGCGCAAGATGGAAAGAAGGATAATTTTTACTTTCATATTTTTTATTTACTAATAAATTGTTGCTGAGAAAATAAGAAGGAAACTTAAGCAAAAATTAATGCAACTTATAGCACTCAATAGAATTTTAAACCGACATAGTTAACTAACAAAGACCATTAATAAATAATTTTTATAAAGTTTTTACTGGTAATTTACATGAAAAGTATAATCTATAAGTTGCATTTAATTAATTAATGCAATAATTTAACTTTTTCAGCAAAAATTTACTAGTCAAGAAAAAACTGTGAAAGTAAAAATTATCCTTCTTAACATCTTGCGCTCACAAATCCTTATGAGAACTATATTTCTATTTACAGTTATTAAAGCCTGAAAAAAGGATGTTTGCGATGTTATTGTCATGCGATGATTTGTAGATACTTTATTTTTTACCACGATATTTTCGACGACGATGTTTTTAAATTGCGAAGTTTTTGAACCGCATTATTTTCGACGACGATGTTTTGTATTACAATGTTTTAGGGCTGCGACGTTTTCTCTTTGCGATGTTTTCTCCCACGATGTTTTGTAGTACGACGTTTTCGCCTTGCGTGTTTTCTCCGTGACGTTTTCGTCCGTGATGTATTTGCCGCGATGTTATCGGCGTATACCTTAATATTGAATGAGTACTAAAATGTCTTAAAATCAGAACATTTACGGATTTGAAGAATTAAATACATTTAGCTAAGCTCCTTCCCGTATCTTTCCTTTTTAGAAAACAGTTGCTGCAGACAAACTGGCGAACCTGTTATGGATAGCGTCTTCAGGGAAGAACGTGATGCATATTTGTGAATTAGGGTGTAGTTAAATCATTTGAAAAACTGTCATTTCTGTTCTGGTTTCGTTATAAGAATGACATCTTTGCACTTAAAAATAGATAAAAAAATAAGCAGGAATTTTATCTGTTATGAATCATACTGTTCCAGCCCCTCAGCTCACACTTTAAAACTAAGTCTGAACACTACCTTGCTTTTTTGCCATTCTAAATATCCGTAATAACTTTGATTTTTACGAAGCTGGTTATCATAAACCTTTTGCATTTTTTTGTTTGCTTATATTCTCATGCTAAATCATGTTATGCTGCTAAACAGACAAACTAAAAACATTATTCAGATTTATTCCTACATTTATCATGCTCTCGAGTTCTTTAAAATCTTTTATACTCATGAGCGCAGTGATTTGAAAAGAGCTTTTTCGTTTATGAGCTCTTTAAAATAATTTTGATTTTAATATCACAAAGTAAATTCAGTAGTTAAAAAAGCCACAATGATTCTATTGTCATTACATTTTCTCCAGTTTACCAGCTAATAAATTTGTTTGAATTTTTCCTTGTTTCAACTTTCATGTTATTTTCGCACCTATTACTGAATTTCATTAATCAATCTTTAAATACCATTTTTCTGATTTCAATTCTTGGAAAATTTCTAGCATGTGTTTTCAGTGCGGTTTGGCACCCATCGGCCAAACTCAAACAGCTATGTATCTTCGCATGAAGAGCACGAACCTTACGTTCAAATAAATCAGTTTTCATTCATTAATAATAATTGGTCCTTAACCCCACATTTGTCTTTAGCTCTTTTTAAATTATTCTGAAAATGTTTTTCTTGCTAGTGAGCAGACATTTTCCTGAGCCTTTCGCATTTTCATAAATTTATCTATTTTAGTCAAAAATCAATACCAAGTAAAATATAATAATATATGAACCCTTAATTGTTTTTTCCTTCACCGATTCATTTAGCTATCTACTCATCGCAAAATTTATTTGCTCTTGGTAAAAAGATATGCCTATATCAGTCTCCTTCGAAATCTATATAGTTTAGTTTAAAATTTAAGACTACTTATTTTTTTTTTATTTTTTGGCCTAGTTTTATATTTTATTCTTTCATGTAGACTCCATTCTTCCATGTAGAAGTTTTATCAGTTAAAAAAAGCGAATGTTAATTTAGATATTTTGCGAAAAGAAATATAACAAAGCAAAATTTCTTAAAAAGGTGTAAAAACACAATCGTAAAATTAAATTTAAGTGATAGAAAATATGTTAAAATAATACGTCTCTTAAATATCTTACAGGTCCTGCGACTCAAGTTTTTATTGATATTGAGGTCCGTAGCATGGGTCCTGTCTCCGAAGTGGATATGGTAAGATTTTATTACAGCTAAATTTTAGTTAGTTTATTTAAGTTTAATTTTTAGTGACAGAAGCGCTTTAAGGGAAACATACTTTCTCTTGATGTTTTTGATAAAGCGACGAATAGCACTATGGGAAATTACTTAAATATGTGACTAAATTAATCCGATGTAAACGAAGACACTTACATCGCTAGAAATTACCCTCAAAATAGTAAATTTACAATAATTAGTGGTTTGGATAGTATTTAAGAGATAATAAAAAGTCTTATTCTAAATGTTTAATGTTTATTTTAATTTGGTTTTCACACTTTATATTACAATTAAATTTTTCATTATATTTAGAAAATAATGCTTTGTATTATAAAAGTTATTGCTGTCAAAATATTTTTTGTAATTTCGCTGTCATATTTTCATCTTTGTCTCGTCATTGACCTGAAGTATTTGATCTGTATTTTACGAGCTTAAGAAGAAACACAATATCATTAATGTGTTAGTAAATTAAGGATTCTCCTGAAAATATAATTAGTTTTTAAAGAACGTAATGATATCCATAAATTTAAATATCATAAATATTAATTATTGCAATAAAGCAAAATATTGGCTTTTTTCAGCTTTATTATGTTTAATTTTACGGGAATGAAAAAGATAAAAAATGTTAGATAACTAATGTTAGATAACTATGAAAAAAATCATGTCAAAAATGTTAGATAACTATCGAAAGTGTTAGATAACTAAAATTTAACTAAAACAGTATTTGAAACAAATACCTAATTAAAATGTCTTCGCGAATCGTATAAAAATGCTTAAGGGAGTGTATGCGGTTCACGAGAAGCCAGTTTGAGACCACCGATCTAAGACATTAGCATAAGACAGACTCATGGGAATTTTAATAATCAGTTCTAAAAATAAAATTTTGCGTATAGATATATACACTGTGCTCCATGAAATGTAATTATGAACGGTTGTGGGTTATGGAGATACCTTTCTATACGTTTATTAAAAATTATTTAACCCAGCAACACTCTATAAAATGGCATTATCCAAGAAAAGCCAATCTATGTATAAATACAAAATTTAAGTTTCTACTGGTTCATTTTTCGTGTAACAGCATATTCTGCTCCTAAGCTACTATCTGCAATTCCTCCTGAAGCGATTCTCTCCTAATCTGAAAAGAAAGCGTTTCATAATATTTTACTTATACATTTTAGCTTAACATTTCAAAGAGCAGTATAACTTATAAAATGACTTCATGTTGTTTAAATTTATTCAACCATTTCATTTGAATGAACTAATGAAAGATATTTAATATTGTAAAAAGTTTGTTTCATCTTTGTCCTCAATGATACTCAATGATACTAAATATATTCTTATAAAATTCTAACTGCTATTGTTTCTTCAAAGAACTTGTTGCCTTTGGGCACTTGTCTCAGTATCCGCATTAAAAAAAATTTTTTTTTTAGTTTAGTTTCTGCAGTTTTTGTTTGCTGAAAACTTCTGTAACTCTTTGATAACGAGTACTGTAACAAGATCAAATTTATTGTCGCAATCAATTATTAATGAGCATGACACCCTTGCTATAGTGGAGTAAACTCTTGAACTAGTACAGTAAAATTTTAACTTTTTAAATTATAATATTTCGGTGAAAGTCGACAAAATATTAGAAATTAGTTAAAGAGTTTTTTTCGCGTAAATTTACTGTACATTATATTAATTCCAATGTTAAGCTTACTGGAAAAAAAAACTTTTCAAGTAATAGAATTTGCTGCTGAAAATAAGTCGTGTTGATTAATCATACGCTAGAAAATTTTCCGTTTCCTTTGATGTTTAGTTTGTATCCTGATTACTGAAAGTCTCGAATATTAGAATGATTTTCCAGTTTTTCTCTTACTCCCGGAAGTTCTTCGCTTATGAAATAAATCTGGAATCGTTAATTTTATCCTAATAATTTCATTAACTGCCGAATAACGCGTGTTCGAAATATTTTTTGCTGTTAGGATACCTTTTAAAATTTGAGACATAAATTATCAGAAGCATCATATTTCAAATATTTATTTGCGAGTTGTTTATAATATAAGCTTTTGTTTTCAATGAATATGAGATTTCAAAATGTAGAAACTGACTATGAAAATTTTATTATTTTTAAAACCTAATGAATTTAATACATCTGAACGTATTACTGAATCTCATATATTTCTGAATTATTTTTTCCTCTTCTTTATGTCTGTTTGGTGGTAATTGAAAGTAGCATGAATTTTAATACTATAAAAATAAATGATTTTTCCTGCTTCTGTTCCTATAAATTTGTGCATCGAATTAATAACAAAATTTTTAATTATAAAAGATTGTTATTTTCTAGTCGTATTCCATGGATTGCTATTTCCGTCAAAGTTGGGTTGACCGACGACTCGCTTACACAAGTAAAATGCCGACTCTTGCACTCTCAATATCAATGTTAGAGAAAATATGGAGACCAGACACATATTTCTACAATGGTAAAAATTCATATTTACATACAATTACGACGCCGAATAAATTTGTTCGATTGTATCGCGATGGAAGAGTACTATATTCTTGCAGGTAAGTGTTTTTTCTCCTTTTTCATGATGTTTGTATTTCTAAAGCGATAACTAAAGAAGAAAGTTCTTATGATTAGTGAAAAAATTTCTTAAGTTTACCTTTTACAATTTTAAAGAAAGTAAGGAAATTAATAAACGGCAACCTTTTTAAATTTTGCTTTAGAATAAATAGATAGTGAACCACCTACATTTTAAACAAGACTTGGGTTCCTTCTCAAACTGACAGGCCAATTCTCATCCCGTCTATTAAAAACGCCGTAGCTCAGAAGAAGGTTTTAATAGCCTTGTAGAGACAATAGATTATTTCAATGCTGGAGAAGTGAAAAACGAGCAATGCCCTCCCTGGGACCCGATCCACGGAACTCTCGAATACGCGTCGAGTGTGCTGACCACTACACCACGAACACATGCTACGAAGGTGGGAGAAATACCTTACAGCCTTTTTTTAAACATAAGAGTGCATCGCTGTACCTTACAATATAAATCTCCGCTACTTCCGAAATTTAAACAAAACTGAAATGTAGATTAAAATTTAAAATAATTATCTCGGGAAATTCATGATAAAAATTCTTCTCAAGTATTGGTTCAAACTATTCAATTTCGCCAACAAACTCGCCTAACGAAGGGTTAATACCGGTTTAAAGTAATTTTCAGAGCTAGGTTAGGAAATATTACAAAAGTCAGGGACGTTACCAAAACTCTCTCTAAAACTTTCAAGAACTTTTTTCTTATATTCAAGTAGCTAATTTGTATCCTGGTGAGGAATGACGAAAGTAGAAATAATAATACAGCTAAAATAATAAAGTAAATGGCTAATTAACATAAACCTTACAAATATTCGAAATGCTATAATTACAATTATATGAATTTTATACTCAAAACTCTGAAGAGAAATATGTTGTTTTATAATGTGTATTGCATTTTACTTAACGTAAAATATTGTTACGAAATGTCCAAGCGCGGTAAGACAGCTTCTCCGCAAAGCAGTTTTAGAGTTGCCATAAAATGCCATAAAATGACGGGGGACGGCATGGTGGCCACATTTGGCGAGAAATCGCCCATTTGGCGACAAAATTGGCGATATACCATGGACAGATGGAGAACCTTTTGGAACGAATTCTTACCGGTTTAGCCCAAAATGTTCTCGAACACAAGCCGAAAGTATTACCATTATATAACCCTGCTGGTAAGTCGAGTTAGTGTGCCTCGTATAGCGAGCTGACAGTCAGTCATTGAGCGAATGTCTCGAAGTCTAGTGCCGAGTGTGTCGTCGAGTGGATTAAAAGAGTCTCTAGTGTATCGCGGTTAGTGTATCGTCAAGAGAATGTGTTGAGCTCCGCAAACGACTGAACCGAGGAGTCGGGAGCTATGCTTTGTGTGTCGTCAAGTGCATCGTGAGTTGTAGCGTGGAGAGTCTCGAGAGTACGTGGAGTTCCGAGAACGACCAAGCAGAGTCGGGAGCTGTACTTTGGTGCTTTGCAGTGAAGCTGTCTCCACCATTATAGCTTGACAGCCTGAAGGCTGTGTCGCTGATTGTTCCAGCGAGTTTATAATATATCTTCGACTACTGTAAAACGTGACTTTGGAGGTGTCCTGATTAATATCGGCCAATAAAGTGTGTTTCGATATTCCATCAAGTGCTATCGTCGTTATTCACTCCAAATCCACACGAACCCCGTACGAACGTGAAGGAAGAAAATAATGCAACAATATGTACTATTTCGAAGCATGAATAGGCTGTTTATATACTCAGTAATTTCCTTGCAAAATTTCATGAAGAATCAGATGATTAAATAATTTATCCTTACCATGTATTATATAATAGAAATAAATAAAATTAATTTTGATGAATTTAGAATGGCAAGGAAAGTAAATATGATGAAGATGCATCTAAATATTTCCGGATTTGACAGAATTTTGAAGCAAAAAATTTAATATTTAGTGGAGAAGATTATTTACTTTGAGCAATAACAAACGCAAAATAGTGAGTAGCAATCGTTTAAATTGAGAGATTTTTTTTTAAATAATAATTGTGCTTCAGAATGTTAAGAAATGCTTACAAAAACTACATATCCGAATCTTCACAAGAAGAAGACAAGCAATATGTTCGAAATCTTACGAATAAATATTAATCTTTCATATTTTAACGCAGTCGTTTTCGATAAGTTTTCTTAGTTGGAAGAGGTGGAGAACTGGCTAATAATCTCTGTATCTCCAGTCGCCTTTCTATTTGCGACTGTTTTGCTTGTGATGATTTAAAATTATCCTAATAGAGAAATTTTTTCAAAATGAAGATGGATAGATATTAAAATTTAAATACGTTCAAAAAATAAAAATAAGAATATGTCTAGGAACAACGTAAACAAGAAAGATTTGTTGAGCTAATGAACACTGATCGTCTTCACAATTATCAGGTTTATTAAAGGTATAAACCAGTACAAGCAGGAGAGATACGAAAATTTCACCATTGGTTGTACAGCTTTCAATTCGTCTCACTAAATATACTGCTGCACCCTAGTTTTGATGGAGTACACCCTATGGCGTTCAAGGTCTCCGTCTCCTCATCTCCTACCACCACTAACTCGACAGGACTTTCAGCTTGCGGTGTATTTTGAGTGAACTCTTGGGGCACAAACTTTATACACTTACAAACGGCAATGTCTTCTCAAAGATTCGAACTCGGGCCCATCTTTGCGGCAATCAGCGTCACTAACCATTATACCGTCTGAACAGCTGGCAGTTTTTTTAACAGGTACAGGTTGAAGCAAGGCCTGCATTTGTGCTTTCCCGAAGGTATAGTAGGTATTGTCGGACTTTTCTAAAACTGTTAAATTCTATTTCAATTTTGATGCAGAATATCTCGAGGGGCGATTCAAGGATCTCCCATCCCCCTTCCATTTACATCAACCACTCGAGAGGACTTCACTCTTGTTGTCTACTTTGAGTGCGCAGTTAGTATACATTTGCTAACATCAATGCCTTTTACGGGATTTGAGCCCGACACATCGATCCTATTCTTCTTGACTCATGTCACTATATTCACTTTGATCAGAAAATTCTGCAAATTTACTAGCTTGCGGCATAGTTTAAAAGTAGGAGTTTATTCTTAACCTGAATGCTATTAATTACATTTCATATTACATAATCATATTTAGTTACATAAATTACATTAAAAGTTACATTTCAATTTTTCAGCGATGCATATCTTCACAAAATTAATCTTTTCTAAATTCCATTGAAATGTGGCTATAATTTGAAACAAAACTTATTTATCATATTAATTGTCAAATAATCTCCGTTAGAATTAGACAACATTCCTTTTCCAACTATAACTAATTTTTTTCTGAAATTTCACAAGGTTTGTCATCTCTAGCGTATGTGAACTTATGTATTACTTTATTTACATTTCATTTAGACTTACAATACGAGCAAGCTGTCCTATGAAACTAGAGAATTTTCCAATGGATGTGCAGAGATGCCCTCTTCAAATTGGGAGCTGTAAGCATATAAAATTTCTGTTTCTATTATTGTAAATGTTTTAAGATAAAATATAAAAATTGTTTGTTAAAAGCCTTTCGCTAAAACATACAAATTGAATGGTTGCCGGTGGAGTCGCTGTGATTGTAATAGTATCTGAAGCAAATCCATAAAGTTAGAATGTGACAATATGCATATATTTGTTTTTCGAACATTTACTAAATAATTTTGAATTTTTCAGTAAATAATTTATAAAAAAATGTAATAAAAACATGAATTAAATTACTTTCAGATAAAGAAAATTATCTCGATTTAACAGGTGCGTAAACTTAAATGTGATTAGCATAAAATTAAATGTCAGTTATTTTAAGTAAATTCATATTTCTTTTATGGCGAAATATGAAATAATCTATAACTTGCTAACGTTGTTGCATTTACATATCCTTCTACTCTTGATATTAAAGGACGGAATGTTCAGAAATAGCCTTCGGAGTTACAAGTCTGGGGTGAATAGTTAAGGAACTGAAGCCTGTAGTCTCGTTTTTATAACGTTTTGCATAACAGTACGTAAATTTATTGGAAAAGGGAAAAACAAAATCCTAAATTTTTAATGTAATATTAAAAAAATTAAAGCTGAATCATCAATTAGAAAGGTTTTTAAAGAACGTTTAGAGCGCTTACTTTCGAGAATTAATTTTCAAAAAGTATTTTAGGTAATACCGAACATTGTTTATGTGCTTTTTTGCAGTTGGATACTCTGAGAAGGACATCCTGTATAAGTGGAATCCAGCTAGAAGTGTGGTCATTGCACCTGACATGAAACTGTCCATGTTTGATGTCACTGAAACTCCTACTGGGAACCTCACTGAAAGGCAACGAAAAGGTTTGTACCTATTGTTTCCACTTATACACGAGTAATACGGTCCGCAGGTCAGAAAGATTCCTTTCTAATTAAATATATATTACATTTTAACTTTGTAAAAAACCACGTAAGCATAATGCATGCAGCTCATTTAGCCTTTGAGATAAGAGATAAACTATCAGTAAGATGGTTGACGTTGGTACGTAAAATGGTCAATGAAGAGAAAAAAGGTGATAAAAATGTTTTGATAAAAAAGGACTTTTGCGTTAATATTTTACTATTTGTATTACGACCAGACAAACGTCTAATTGATGATAAAGTAATGTCTTCAGTATGAGATAAAATCTTTAAAAATAAGACTGTAAGATAAAATGTTCTAAACTGCTTACTTTCCTACAATGTTTTTGCATTTTAGCACGATCATCGAGTCAATCGAAAAATATGATACAATATTTCTCTTTAAAATGTCTAATAATGATTTCAATAATCTAGCTCCTATCAGTGCAGCTATAAGTTGGCTAATCTTGGCAAGAAGAAATTTTTAATTGAGGTCCCAGGAGATTTTTAAACTACAAATTGAGTTTTCACAGATGTAGCTGATGAGAACTTAAGGTATAATACCGCTCTATAAGTATTTTAACTGTTTCTGGAAACTAATGTAACTGATAATTTTCTATTTTTTCCTTTTACAAATTATTGAAGTAAAGCCTCAATATTTCTACACTGTGTTTATGTGATAATTATTGTTTCTATTCTTTCGAAATTTTACACAATTCCTGAGGTAACATTTTATTCCACTGAAGTCCGTATTTCCATCTTGCTTGCAATAAAATTCGCGTTTTTGCAAAATGGATTTAAAAATCCTAGATTATCATATAAACTTCCGATAGTTTTCAAAATTTCTCGCTTAGTAATTTTGTCATTGTTTATCGTTCCCACCTTCTGTAACTTGCGTTATTTAAATTTGAAGTTTATCCTTTTCTCTGTTACAGATATAACCTAAAATTTTGATGTATGTACTCTGAATATGCTTTTCATTCTCTTTCCAGATCTTGCATAACGAGTTGTCATTTGTAATCGATTGTCTCATATTAAAACCCCCTTTCCTAATCATATTTTAACGTTCGCTACTTCTTCAGTTGCTTTATTTATTATACCAGTACCTACTATTAGGTGGTCACCGTAGAAGAAATTATCTAAAACGATACTCGGATTCTCATTGTCTGTATATGAGCCATCATAGCTTCTCCCAATGAATATGGACTTGGATCTGCTCAACGAATTACTCGGATCACACGCAAGATTTTCATTTTTCTAATCTCCATAAGATTTCTATCCCTCCATAAGAATTCCATTGCACTTCTAACTCTAGGCTCTAAATTATTTGAAGAAAGACTAACTGAATGTTGCCTGCAATTCCAATCTAATGTTCTCGAAATTTAATCAAAATCTGCAGATGCCTGAATAAAGACTGAGCCCTGATTTTACCATTCAGTGACAGTTAGCCTTTAGCATGCAGCAATGCATCGAAAATAGTTTCGGGGTATCTTTCTGTTCTGTAATCACACTTTAATGCAGCATAAAGTTTTCAAATACCCCGATTCACTCATGATACCTTGCAAATTTGGATACATCACTATTTTATAACGTTCATGAAACTTAAAATTTTTCTTAAATCCATAGTTGCTGAAATAGCTTGTCTTGTATGCTAGTTCCATCGCAAACAAACTGTATATCAGTTGAGCTCAAATTCCATAGATTTAAAACATTTTGTAAAAGTAGCATCGTTTTCTAAGTTGTGACTATCATTAGATTTATTAGAAATTCCTTAAACATTTAACTGCGTCAAGTTTGCCATTAATTCGGATGTCTAATCAATTTTTAAAGTACTTTTAACTTGTGTCAAATTCTGAATAGTATTTAAAAAATTCTGATGCATTACATCTATTTTTTGTTCTCCACATGGACCATCCTAATGTAATTTCTGCCGCTCTAGTAATTCAGAAACTCGGCAGTCACTTCCTGTAACAATCTTCCAATACGTATCTCAGCCAATAAGTAACGAAGGTTCTTCGTCTTTAATTCTAAAATGGATTGTGTCATTCATAATACTGAACTTTGAATTTATACATAATTTGGAAATCGTTCTACTATGTATTGGTTAAATACCTGTTACTTCTGTTTCTAGGGTTCTACACTACTTTTTTCTGTCGTATTTAATGTGTGAGTCAAAACGAAACTGGCACTGTTCTTTTTTTCTATCTGTCTGTTTTTTTTCTGTTATTTTTTCTGTCTGTGCATGCATAAATTCTTACAAATTCACTACCAATAGTTTGTAAGGAATTTTCTCCCTCCTTAAAGTGCACTTTCGTGTAATCGAAGTCACGGCCTGGAGTTCGTATCTAGACGAGACCATTGTTCATTTTCTATGTTTTATGCTGTAAAAAAGAGAAATTATTCTAAAAATTGGTAAACGCATCTTTTCAATATGTTTTGGGATCAAAATTTGAGCTATGCAATTGTTTACCTTTGTTTTAACATTTGCTGGAGCAGTCTATAACAGTGTAGCTTTCAGATAAATTTCACTAACCGGATTCATGGCCGTTTACAGTTTAGCAAACCTTTTCATCCTTCATCAGCTCTACGCGAATCTCAGCTCGAGGAGGAGGGTATTTGACGTTAAAAATAAGACTTTTGGGTCTGTCATTGCAATTAACAAATTGTTGTTTTAATTTACTTGACCGAACTACATGCTCAGTCTGCAGCCACAAAAATATCTACTGTTTTGCATTAAGCTATCAACTTTATTCCCAAGCTCTTTATGACAGTTTTCACTTCTGGGCTGCGAATTATTATTATAAAAAGGCAAATTTCCTGCAGTTGTTCTAGGAATTGAAGTATGTCTTTTCTCGCTATAGCTCTTTGGAATCTATTTTTCTTTTCTGGGAAATCATTAAATGAGTGTTCCTGCTTTAAGCTTTTAAGAGAATTGTTAGTTCGAGATTCACTTTCGCTTGTTTGCCGAAACAAAAATTTCGTTCTCATGTTTCTATTTCTTTTCCGAGAAAATTTAATGATTTTGTTATATTACAAGAATCACCTTTTTCATGCTATCTATAAAACTTTAATACAATAGAATCTGGAATAAGTTTAGTAGAAATTGGAAAAACAAACTTCCACACAAACTTAGTTCAACATCAAAGAGCTTGCAAACCATTTTTTATATTTCTTTTGTATCGTATGGTTCCCGCAATTGCTTTAAGCTGGAACCAGATTTTGCAGCATTTAAATTAAAAAAATATCAATATGGGACTTAACAGTAATTTCTTTCCCCTCATATTTTTAAGCAATTTTACTGCTAAATCATAATTATTTTCTTATACTAATAAGTTTTAATTATTAATTAATTATGGTTCTCTTAAGATAGATTAAAGGAAATGTATTTATTAACTTTATATAAACGCCCATTAATATGAGTAGATTTTCAGATTGCTATTAAAGTTTCTGAAACTATTTGAAGTCATACTTAAAAATTCTATGTGTATTCTCGATGTATTTATTTTTCGTTTATCTGGTTAATTACTCAAAATAATTGTGAAGTTCCTCTTCAAAGATAAATCTGCTTAGTTCCTATCCAAAGATTAGATATATTTCTTCACTTCCGTTTTTGCGCAAATAATGGGCGCTCTGTATACCTCATTACTTTCGACTTCAACTTCCAGGTCTTTTAATTCAGGAATTGTACCCTTAATTTCGAGATCTAGCTTAAATATTTGTTCTGCTTTCTTTTATAAAATTATCTCACATTCCTCCAATGATTTTATATCTGCGGTTTCTTATTCAAATAACTCAGATATTCTACGAATTAATTATATTTTTAAACTTCTTATCGCTTTCCTTTTATTTATTCATCTACTTTTTTAGTACTATTTTCATTCGTGACAGCATCTTATATATAATTATACAATTCTAAGTTCTAAGCTGTGTTAATAATATCTTAAATAACTCAGTTCAGTTGTTATAATAATTCAGTAAAGCAGTTCACATTTATTCAAATTTCAAATGGAAACGTGCTTCTTTCATAAAATCTCCAGTTGTGAAGACTATTTAATACTTATTAGAACGGAATCAAATTAATGATCAAGTAAGCTCTTCTGTAGTTAATAAAATCTTCAGCAATACGGTTCTAAGAAAACTATTCAAATTTACTTAACTGTATATCCATTTTCCTGGCCGTAGTTCGTAGTAGTAGTAATATAGTTGATGCGCTTGCCTTCTGGGTCAAATTATCAATACGCTTTACAAATACTCTAAGTCTAATGAGATTTTAAATTCTTTAATAAATTGAATTTTAAGATTGACATAAAGTTGCAAATGTAAAAATACATATTTGCATATGAATATGGATGCCACTGCGAGCTTACGGCAAGACTTGATTAAAATAATTGTTAGTTCATTTTTGTCCGAAATGAAGTTCATTGTACATCTAAATCGAAACTCGTATTTGGCGGAATGGCGTCTCCGCTGCTCCTTTTCTCTGTCTGGGCGAAGTTTCAGTTCCATTCACAAGAATGTGTCCTATACATCTGCATATTTCTTTTCAAGTATGGATTTATAAGATCCATGTAATATCGGACCCATTATGTACCGGATGCTTACTATACCAAATTATATAAGATATCACAAATGAAACTGTTCCATAAAACTTCAAAAATTAAAATTTTTATACGAGAAATGCATATTTTGCAAGAATGCATTAAACTACCAATTACTTGATTGAAACAAACACATTTAAGAAAGTGAGAAGAAACGAGGAAGCAGATAATCGTGTTCAAAACTCAAATTAAAAAAAAAAATAGGGCGATTTTCCTCTTTGCAGGTTGCTAGACAAATTTCAGTCAAATTAATATTAAACAGTTAAAAACAAGAGATTATTTAAATCATAAAATTTATGTAAACTTTAACAGTCTTTCTTTTTCTTCTATCTTCAAACAAGCATATTTGATTTATATCCCAAGGAC